CATGAAAGCCTTCGACAATATAATAGTTCTCTTTGAAAGCAAGCAAAAAACCCAACTTTTTTGGTTAAACTGTTGATGCTATTCTGAGTTTAGTTGTGGAGGCTGCAAAAACAGGCAGATAGGCCTTGGGTTGCCCAGTGTTAAGCTAAACAAGCTAAGGGTTTTGATTTGTCATATTTCTTACAAGCCAGAACTACAGACCAAAATTTGTTCCTATAAAGGAGACAAGTTAGGATCTTGTTCTTATAAAGGGATTCAAACTTATAAAGTTTGGATTCAAAACAAATTAAAAACATACAAACCTTTTCATTCATTCTGTTTCTCTCACACAACCACCCAAGCCAACTTTCCTCCCCGGAGTCACTATCCTCAATCAAACCTGTGTTTGGAAACTTTTTTAGGCCCTGTTTCTCCAACCATACAAGTCTATAGTCCCAAAGCACCCTTTGTATGCAATGCACAAGATAAAATAAAAAAAAAACTTGCTAGTAGACAACAGCTCAGTTTGCAAAGCCAATTTAAATTACCCCTCTACGAAAGGACTAGAGGAGCTGGGTAAACAAAGTATGCTTGCAGAGGGAAACTGGTGCAGAGGAGATGGTACTCAGAGCCTGGTGCTCGTTGAAATTCTCATTTTAGCCTGTCACCCAACTTGTGCTGTGGGAAATAAGGCTGCATGGCTTTCCAACCAACTCTCATCCAGCAAAAGTAAACAGGGCGATGTGATCTCAGCCTAATGATGTCAGAGGGGAAAGTGGGAAGAGGTGAAGATCCTAAAATAAAATAGACTTATTGTATCTTGGGGACAGTCAAATACATTTTCAACTAGGAGAAACAAATAAGAAATGATGTATAGGCCCAAGAAATAGCCTCACCAGAGTTCGCAGCCAGCATTCCTCACAGTGCACGTGCCAGCACTGGATGGAGGTCAGGGGCATCGTATAGGAATCCTGCAGAAAGAAGAGGGAAACTGTCCCATCACACACACAAAGTTTCAGTGCACTGCTTCCAAGTTCTGGGCCAGGATGGAGAGGAGCTAGCACATCAATACAACTTCATTTTCACATCAGAAGCACATATAATGGCTCCAAATCGATAGTGTAGCACCTCTGGGACCACAATGCTCAAGACCTTAATAATACAGAAACACAACATTTCCTAAAAAAGGAACAGGAAGAATGATTATGATCATCATCCTCTTGCCTCACAAATGTGAATAATGGGTTAAAGTAAAGGGGTCTTTTGGGAGATTTTTCCAGAAACAGTATTCACTTTTAACATGAAAACGCCACTTTCATATCAAAATGCTCAAGAGTCTCTCTTTGATCATTAGTGCTAGCAATCTTGCCTGTAGGATTGCTACCGGCACAACATAGAAGACTGAATTTGTCTCTTACTTTGTGATTTCAGTTCTGTTCTCATGCTCATTATATATTTCAATTGTTTTTTTTATGACCAAAAAGGACTTCTCTTCCTCCTCCTCCTCTGGCTTGTATAAACAATCTTACTTTCCTCCCTATTGATACACTTCTTATGCTAGCTCCAGGCCTATAGCAAGACACAACTGTACAAATGCAATATTGGAGGGAAAATTGAGTATTCTGAAGTGGGCGAGTCTCTTCATTAAACAAAAAAGAAGAAGGAAGAAGTATTCATATTTCAACGAAAAAGCACTAACTTAGGCCTGTAGGAAGGGAAGGCAGTTTTCATTGTTCATTTAAAAAAATATTTATTTAAAATAATATTTTTCTTTTTCTTCCAAAACAATCTACAAGCAAACTGATGTTAATTTGAAACCACAATCCAGTGGTAATTGTCAGAGGCAATAGCTTTTTTAAGGGTTAATGAAAAATTGTAAGTATTTTCCAAAGAGTATAGTGTGAAAGGAGACCCTGGTAGCACAGAAAGTTAAACTGCTGAGCTGCTGAACTTGCTGATCAAAAGGTTGGTGATTCAAATCCGGGGAACGGGGTGAGTTCCTGCTGTTAGCCCCAGCTTCTGCCAACCTAGCAGTTCGAAAACATGTAAGTGTGAGTAGATCAACAGGTACCACTCCAGTGAGAAGATAATGTCACTCCATGCAGTCATGCCAGCCACATGACTTTGGAGGCGTCTGCACATAACGATGGCTCTTCAGCTTAGGAATGGAGATGAGCACCCCTCAGAGTCGGACACGACAAGACTTAATGTGAAGGGGAAACCTTTACCTTTACTATTGTAGTTTGAAAAGAGCTTAGAGGAAAAAAATGTATTAGCATCTGCTAAACAATGCTTGAAAACACTCTGGAGGGCATTTTCTTTCCAAAATAATTGTACTCTGAGAGCTTGGAAAGATCTGTTTTCCTGAAGAAGAGCCATAATTTGCCAGGGAAGATACATGCCATAACCTAAGTAAGCAGAAACTGTATAAAAGTAATAGGAGATGTGAACAGGTGCCAGACTCCAAGCCACTAGAGGGAGCTTCAGTACTACAGTAAGTGAATCAAAATAGTGAAGCATTTGTCATCAGGCCACAGGTAACCAACAACTTTGGAACAGTTTGACTAATGGACTGTCTTTAAGCCAGATGCGGAGTCTAATGGGCATTTTGACTTCTTTCCAGAAGATATTGGAAGAGATGAACATGGACACAAGGAGATCTGTACGGTCAATAGAGTAGGTGGTTTACAGAAACACCGCCAATGCAGTTGACAAGTTGTCGATTAAAGCCCTACCAAACCAGAACACATTAAAACTGACTTGTGTGCAAGAGAAAGTTCTACTATTTCCCTCGAGTCAATGGACAAATGATAAGGTTGTAGTTTTCTCACACATGCTACTGCATGTAACAGTTCCACGTTGCTATCGCCAAGGGAGAGAGGTACAGAGTTATTTCCTTATTCATGACCACAACTGGGAAACTACTCACCATGCAAATGAGACATTTATAGCGGTCCCCACGGGAGAGCTGCCTTTCTAACTCACGTACGCGAGCCTTTAGTGCTTCAAACGTTGTCACTGCTGAGTCCTCTGTAATCCTAAAATAGATGACAAAGTCAGGGCTGGCTGAGTTCTTAGAAACATTTCACTGATTTCATTATGTGCCAAGTATAGTAGACAAAACCACATGCCAGGGTGCATCTTGGCTTCTGCTAAGAGTGACTGAACAGCTTACACAGTAGGCAGTGTTGAGAAATAGCTATAGCAGCCGAACCTTGAATAAGGGTTTAAAACAAAGGCCAAGGAGTAAAGTTCAGAGCACATGAACATGGTCCTAGGGGGTTAAGTATTGTATATTATCATAAAGGGGGAGGGAAAAGAGAAAGAAAGCAACACAGGCTTACAATTGGTTCCTAACAAGGCTGAAATGAAGATGGTCCCCTTTTCATGGGGATCTTGCAAAGATCATGCTAAAAAACTATAAATGAAAGGGTTTGCCTGCAAGTGGAGACAGGCCTCTGGGGTAACAGGTCAAAAAGACTAAGGGCACAGAAGAAAATCTGTTCATAATGAACATGCAAAGTCCCAGATGGTTTTATGAAAACTGTCAGCTTATGAAATATTAAGCTAATGAGGCATCACTGTATGAAATCATTTAAGTTTACATAGAGAGAAAACATGTAATGAGTGTTAAACTGTATGTTCTTTTGACAGCAGATACAACAAGCAGTCGATACATTGTATCTAAGGTGTTAATGATATCAAAAGAGCAGCAAAGCATTTTTCCAAGTGAGAGACAATTACCTGTGTTTGTTCTTACCATTTCTACCCAAATTCAAAGTTCTAACTTATTTAAAAACCCAAATATTGCAAACAGAATCAAGCAGTACCAGGCTTTATTGATTAGGTGCGTTTTTAATCTGTACACTAATTTAATACAATTCCTTCATCAGCTGAAGTGGTGCCACTAATTGACAAGGAATTAGCATTAACAAGCTTGAAATGTTTACATAGGTACAACAAAACAATCACAGAATGTTTATATTTTTTAAAAGAACAAGGTGGGAAAAACTATGACAATAGTCCAGTGCTCTGAGTATGATATACCACCAATGAGGGGTTAGAAATGGAGTGGGACACACAATAGTGCAACCTGGAAAAGGCATATTTAACTGGCTGGCACAATGGGCAGTAATGCCTTCATATTACGTGGTATTACAGGGTTTAATTAACAGGAATAATATAAGCAAACCCTTCAAAAAAATACTGCTGCATAAAGTGTTTCTGTCCAGTATGTTGGATATGTCAGCATAGCCATTAGCAGAAGAATAGACAGAGGATAGGCTTCGCATAGCACTCAGGTTAGAATCAGAGGGTTTTTTTTCCCTTCATGTCAGGAAAGACTTGAGAAACTGCAAGTCGCCTCTGGTGTGAGATTATTGGCCGTCTGCAAGGTTGTTGCACAGGGGACGCCCAGATGTTTTGATGCTTTACCATCCTTGTTGGAGGCTTCTCTCATGCCCCCACATGGGGAGCTGTAGCTGACAGAGGGAGCTCATCCGCGCTCTTCCTGGATTCGAACCTCCAACCTGTCAGTCTTCAGTCCAGCTGGCACAAGGGTTTAACCCATTGCGCCACCGGAGGAATCAGAGTGGGCTAGCAGGAACAACCCAGCAGAGTTCCCATCAGCTCTTCACAAAACTGGATATGATGCCTGAAACAAATATGGTATATTCTTTTTTGTAGTTTTAATATGAGCAACTGGTGGGAAGAGAGTTGGGCAACATCTCTAAGCAAAATAAAGAGCATTACCAACCACAAGAATTTGGAGCTTGGGAAGGAACCGATAGGCAATGATAGAAAATGGTTTGATTATGGGCAGCTAACAAACTGACTCTTGTTGGACAATTTCAGAAAGCTCTCAGATGATCACCCCTGTCCAGTAATAAACGAATGAATCAGAAAAGGCCGAATAGAGGCATAAGCAACAACACTCAGTGCCTGCCCAATACAATAGTCAATCAATAGCAGGGCTGTAGATCAGGGTGCTAGTTAGCTGGAAAATTACTGCATCGCCGCATGCGTCACGCTGGAGGGATCCTGGACAATCAATGAAGGAGGTATTGATTTAGTTATTATCACTTCATATGCTCCAGACATTGTTAAATATACATTTATTAACAAGGCTGAGGGAGGGGATAGAGCAAGCCTGAAAAAGTACAACCTTTCCTCTAGCTGAGCCAGCAAATCCAAATTGCAGCTCCCAGCCCATATGTGAACAATTCAGCTAAGCCAAAATGGCAGACTAAGAACCTGATGGGGTCTAGGGCAGGAGATGCCAATGCAGTGTCCTGTGTTTGTAGCAAATGTGTTGCAAAGACCTCAGTAATAATTGCACAAAGGATTTAGCATGAGAATATTCCTCCATTCCCTCCAGATCCATGTCCAGTTAGGGGATTAGAAGCTTTTTTGACAGATTTTGTATTTTATCCTGAGGGTTAGAAATGTTTTATCATTATTACAATTGGAGAGGGTGTAAATGGCACAACTTATTAATGGGGCGAAGGATATTGACCTTGGAGAAGAATGAAAAGATGCTCAAATGGAAAGGAGGTACATTTTAAAACCATAGAAAAGGATTTAAGTAGTATCAAAATAGCTACTGTGCTCATGAAAGTGGGACTGATTCAAATTCAGTGCAAATTCAGTGCTAAGGAGATCAAGTTGCTCCCCTTCCAATGGACAGAGGACCAATCTGTCTGTTTTCCTTATTCTGCCTTGATGTGATCTCGGAGAAAACAAAAGTATGCAAAATAAAAGTCTGTGCAAATAACATATATGTAATTCTAACATCCAAGAAAGGACAATGACCACAAAAACATTCTCAGCAAGTGCCTGGTGTGAGCAAATTGTAATTACATTCTCTCAGTTTGAAACTCTCCTCCTTACTTTGCTCCAGAAATTCTTAAGTCCAGAATGTTTTCAAAATCTCCTCCTCTAGTTTCTTTGAAAAGAATGCAATACAACTCCCCTTATTCTTCATGAACAGTCACACTGTACATAATATCTCATAAATTTTACAACCCTGCTGTTTATATGTATGTTGTAAAACACATTTAGAACTGATTATATACACTGCCAATAAAATCTCATGGGTTATTCCCCACATCAGATCTCCTGAACCTTCCCATGCTTCTACACAGTATTTTCTTTTGATGTCTATGGGTTGGTGAGTTTGAACAAATTCAGGATGTCTTGTAAACTATCAACTCTGGTTCATCCTAAGATATAGGACTGAGTTTGGGAACTGTTTGACAGATGTGTTCCTACTTCCAAAACAGTATAATTAAGAAAATCCAGATTAACTGTTTCTGAATATAAATGCACAACAGATTTTAGTTTCCAGAATAACGGCATAATGCAGTGCCGTGACATTTAGTCAACATCTAATATAGCAGTGGACAAATTGACACAACCCCCCTCCTCATGCCATCCTTTGTCACCCCAAAACCCTCTGCTCTATTTTAAAACAATTATCAAGTTCCTTTTGTCTCGTCCCCCCCCAGGGTCTGTGGGAGGCAATTTATGGAGGAGTACTAACAATCCTTCCCAGCACTTCTTGCAAATTACACACATTTATTTCTCTAACATTTCTGATGCAGAAACAATGCTGTATTCTGTTAGTGGGAGAAAATGGTTATTTGATCATACACTGGACCACAACTATTTGAGGCACTGCCTGAAACATACTCATTTTGAATTATCTTATTTGTTACACACAAGGAGCTCCCACTTTATTCTCACAACAATGTTGTAAGGCAGATTAGGCTTGGAGATAATGACACTATCTACCAGCAAAGGCACTTTTTTTTTTGTCATGTSAGGAGCAACTTGAGAAACTGCAAGTCGCTTCTGGTATGAGAGAACTGGCCGTCTGCAAGGACATTACCCAGGGGARGCCCGGATGATTTGATGTTTTATCATCCTTGTGGGAGGCTTCTCTCATGTCCCTGTATGAGGAGCTGGAGCTGATAGAGGGAGCTCGTCCGCCTCTCCCRGGATTCGAACCTGTGACCTGTCGGTCTTCAGTCCTGCCGGCACAGAGGTTTAACCCACTGCGCCACCGGGGGCTCCAGCAAAGGCACTGATGATTATGAGACACTTTCCCCTCTCAATTCCTTTAGAGAGAAACAATCAGCCACATTGCCTCACAGATGCAGCAAATATTTCACAATCTCATCACATTCCAGAGCTGCATAATGTATATTTGGTGTACATCAAGGACAGGCAACTTTGGCAGGCCTAGGGGGCAATACTCTACTCACAGGACTCTCTGGGGCTGCACTGTTGTTCTTAACTGCCCAACTTTCACTTATGGTGATCATATGAATGAAAGGCCTTCAAGATACTCTGCCATCAACAGCTCTGCCTAAGTCCTGAAAACTCAGGGCCTTCATTGGGTCTCTTCACCAGCAATGGAGCCTTCTCTTTTCCTATTGCCTTCGACCTTGTTAAGCACCACTGTCTTTTCTAGTGAATCAGGTTGACTCATGATAGGCTGAAGTATGACAACTTCAGTTTACTCATCTTGGCTTCTAGAGGAAGTTCAGACTTGATTTGCTCTAGGACTCATTTGTCTTTTTGACAGTCCAGGATATCCACAGCGCTCTCCTCCAGCACCACATTTCAAATGAGTTGGATTTTCTTCCTATCAGCTTTCTTAACTTTTGAGCTTTCACAAACATACACAAAAATTGGAGTTCTGGACTATAACAATAAGCTTTGTCAGCAGCTTCCACTCTCTAAATGTGTGGGTCCATTTTCCAAATGGGTCTTCCTTGAATTAATCTATTATCCTTTAATAGTGCTTCACTATATTTGTTTCTATTATCTTTTTATTTCTTCGTGCAATGTATTTCTCTGTTAGTTGCAGAGCATCTCCACTCTTGGTTTGAATTTCCCTTTGAATTCTCAAATCCTGTGGAAGGCGTCTCTTATTCTATTTCTCCACATTTCCCTGCCTGCATGGAAATCATCTATTGGACAGATGGCAAGCTATTTAACCACAGCAGACTGAAGGCCAGAACCAAGGTAACAA